CGCACCGGTGCAGTGGATCCGACGGGTGCTCCGGCAGCGGCGCGAGTGGCGTGGGGCGCTCCGGTGAGCAGCGGCCGGATCCGGCGAGCGGGTGGCCTCCTTTAGCAAGCGGACGCGGCGACGGTGTAGATCCGACGAGCAGAGCGATGGCCCGTGGATGGGCTCGGTGGGCCCGTGGGTGGGTTCGCTGGGCTTGTCCACATGATTTCTTTTTTTAATTTAATTAACCGAGGCGGGCAACCAAGCGCCTGCGTTAAGGACGGATGAACCATGACCTTTGGACGTCCGCCTCGGTTAATCATTTTTGTCCGCCTCGGTTAGGTTTTTCTATAGTAGTGTAGGGTTCTTGATTATTTTCATCCAAAATCTAATTTTAAGCTGTCCCAGACACACCTTATATATATGGTAGCCACTTGGGATAGCCGGCTTTTGTTGGGGCTGCAAAAAAAACCTAGGCCATGTCATGTCGTGCCTCCTGACATGCCTAGGGAGCAGCCAAAACATGGCCCTTGTCATCTAGCTGGCTGGCCCCAGACAGCCATCATCGGGCTAGACCTGCTTAAGCCAGGCTAGAAAGTACTATCTCCATCTAAAAAAAAACGTAAATCTCATTTTTCAAATTAAGATTAGTGTAGGTGTGAAATTATATATTTACTTCTCCTCCATCATTCTCCTCGTAAGTAGAAACTAAAAAACAATCATTGTCTTCTAGAATGTTCTTCTCATAGATAAATAAAATAATAATATTTTAATATGTGGATTTCATTAGAAAAGTTGATCTTACATCTACAATTACTGAGATAAGATTTGAAATGCAGGATTACATTCTTTTTGGGACGGAGGGAGTAGTCTTCAGTTGGGCAAGCTGGTTGAGGGCTTTATGTACATATGTACTCTCAGTTTGCAGCAAACGGAAGCTTTGGTTGCTCAAAAAAAAAAGCAAACGGAAGCTTTAACTGAGATAGTGTGAATGTGTGATCAATTTGTAGCTGGGAAGGATTTATTATAAGGCATAGTGCATCTAGACGGACTTGTATGTTTCTACGTTTTTGCAATGCACTTGCAGATGAGGCCGGCGAAGAAACAGTGAAACAAACACTAAATAAAATAATATAATACACACACAATGCATATAATATAAATATAATATAATATAGCTAGTTGGCATTTGGCAACCCGCGAATGAAGATATATGCCACAGACGACAGCCTGTCCTGCAGCATCTTGTTTGGGATTACACGAAACGCGGCGCCTGCTCATCGTTGACGACGCTAACGTACCTCGGCTGGTATCCCTTGCATATATATAATTATTTCAATATTTTATATACTCCCTCTATCTCTTTTTCAGAGTCGTTCTAGCCTTGAAGCTGGTGCATCCAAGATGCTATGGACCTAGACGTTGCCTGTGTCTATGTGCATGGAAGAGACATTGAATGCAGACAGTTTGCAGCCTTCCCAGAACGACTCACAAAACAGGATAGAGGGAGTATGTTCCACGGGGTAAGGAATATTCCTGCGCGTATAGTAGTGCTTAGCTGGTTCGTAATGAAGTACTACTAGCATACTATTCTAAATCTATATTTAATCAGGCCTTTTCTAAAATCTAAAAAAAAATACTTACAACACGAAATATATCTCCTATTATAAGAATGTATTTTATAACGACTCCGATGTATCATAAATGTTAAAATTTTGCAAACTTTGTTATTAGATTCAAAATATTTTGACCTCGCTACTATACTAAATTAAAAGTAGTGTGATCCAATCATATATAGTTCGGCTGGAATGGCTCTCTGAGATTTCAGGGGGCGCTGCAGCGGAGTTTTGGCGGTTTACAAGCCCCACGATAACCGATAATAGCGATGACAATATATATACACATAACATGTGCGTACATCAATGTCTCGCAAAAAGAAAAAAGGAAAACAATAATGTATACATCAATAATGCATTACATGCTTCAGCCTGTTCGCTAGGTCGTATTTGGCTTATAAGCCATAGCTTATCAGCCAACGAACAGTATTTTTCTCTCACACCAAATCAACCAACAGTACTTTCAATCATGGCTTATAAGCTAAACAAGCCTAAATGAACAGGGCGTATGTAATGGACAGTTGTACGCGAAGCAAATTAAGTTAGTAAATAGACTAGGCAATGGAGATATTATATATAGTGCTTCCATGTCTGCGATGTGCCGTACCAGGACCAAGCATCGTCGTGAATGATGGACACCACGCGGATGGACCTGGCAAGCATATGGGCAATTGTGCATCCATGCATCCATCCCCGGTGTCCATGGAAAACAACGTGTACTCCAATTGACATGTTGCTCGTGACGTAGTACGACTCTAGTTGCCATCACCGTTGGACAGCTCGCCGGAGGTTTGATGACAGTTGTTTTCGAAAACTATGGTATCATAAAACTGTAATTATTATAAGTCTCAGAGAAATATAAAACTTCAAAAACACTAAGCTGGCTTTAACAAAACTATAGTTTTTCTCTACCAAATTATATATCTATATATCTCTGGTGATAATATTAAAAGTGAAGAGAACCCGTTTTGTATTCCTAAAATATCCTTGCACCCTCGTTGTCCCACGTGCGACCCGAACTCGTGATCATCCATGCTCATATGAGTTAGAACGTACAACTCGTGTGCGGTTCTAAGACATATTAGATAGATTTGCGCATGGGTATGCATGTTTGCTAGTAAACTACAAAGTCTTTTGTATCTAATCACCTAGCCAGCAACTTTTAAAAATCCAAGGGTTTGAAAAAACATTATATTTATCTAATACGACTGCAATTATAAGTCTCCGAGAAATATAAAACCGTAGTTAAAAAATCATGAATAAAGTTTCTTAAACTTTAGAAAGCCTAAGCTTTAACAAAACTATAGTTTTTATCTCTACCTATATATCTATATCTCTGTCTAATAACATTAAAAAGTGAAGGGTTTCTATCCTGTTTTTTAATTTTAAAATATCCTTGCGCCTTCGGTGTCCTATATACGACCTGTACTTGTGATCCATGCTCATATGAGTTAAAACAGCTCGTATCTAGTTCTAAGCGTATTAGATTCGCGCATGGATTGTTTGCTAGTAAACTACAAAGTCCTTGTAATCAAACACCTGGCCAGCAACTTTTAAAAATCCAAGTGTCTAAAAAACCATTATATCTATCTAATGCTTCGAAAATACTTTGTATGCGAACGTATATCTCGTATTTAACAGGCTGCAAAAGATCTGCATCGTATGTGACCGCACGAACCACAGGATGCATGCTTAGCTCGAAAGATGCAGGTTTGTCCCTGCGCCAGCGTCCATACATAGATCTTGATAGAAATGGACAACACGTCATGCACATTCATATCCACATCCACGACGGATTTGTGGCCGATACAGGCTGCCCCGTCGGTGTTACTTCTTGCAACATCTCTCACTACTGTCTTGTTGTATGTATGTATTTTTGTAGAGTAATCCATAATTTCCAGATGACTGTGTATAGTGATGTAATTAAGATGACTTTGACTTATACGTAAATAACTTAACTGCTATTACTGCACTATCTACTTCGATCCTTCTGCTCTAAATTATAGTTTACCTTGGTTTTACCATTTCTAAATCAAATTTCTTTAATTTTGACCAACTTCGTCTTAGCTAGGAAAATATATATCTCGATGTCTATGACTTCAAATAAATGCTCTATTATTATATGAAGATTTTAACGGAACTAGCTTGATGTGTGGATTTTTATATAGATCTGGTCAAAATTTATAAAACAAAATCAAATTGAACTATATTACCGATGATCTGCGATCAATTCATCTATGTCTTTGTCACTTCTAGGCCTTGTTTGGATGTTGTCAGAATCACCTCAATCCACATATGCTAGGGTGAAGTTTATTAGTTCAAGTTCCACTTCTATCCACCTTAACATACGCGAATTGATGTCAATCCGACTACATCCAAACAAAATGTCAAAATGTCTTAGGAGCCTTCTGGTGCCGCTTCTAGTGGCTCTGGCTCACTGTAGATCACTATAGCAAGTGAACAGCAGGCTCCGTGCCGGCCAAAAATAAATTTGAGCCATGAGAAGAACAACATTTTTTTGGTTCCGTACATCTCTACTGTACCGAAGCCTGAGCCTGAAGGGGCTTTTACTAACCGACCTTACAACTTGGAACAGAGGAAGTACCTGATTTTGTTGTGCGAGATAGAAATCTATTATCGCTTTGGACTTTCGATTGCATCTACCATGGATGAATGGATGTTCTGGTCTACCTCTACCTAAATAATGTGTGACCCACACATTTTCAACAAGATCAGTACTAAACACATTTTTCTAATGCGCAAACAAAGTTGCTACTCTGCCCAGCTACAGTTCCTACTTATTATATAGCATCATCTAGAAACAAGGATCTCAAAGCTGTAATAAACCTATTTATTTATTTAAATCCAGCGTCGTGCAGCAAGGGCGCACAGCAGCACTCCACACACTCCATCCGGATACCGGACGCCGGAGCCAAACGCCCCCAGATTCAACGAACGCCGTCGGCCTCCGCTCCGTGCCAAGTCCACGTGCACCAGCCATCGAAGGCATCTCCTCGCGGGGCCCCACCTGCAGCGACACGGCTCACCTTGGACCAGGCGTCCCGAGCTGCTCCTCCTCTGCGCCGGCAGCCTCGCCTGCATAAAGCCACCAGCCAGCCATCATCTCCAGCGGCTTCTTCCAAAGTGAGCCGTGTCGCTGGAGGTCCGTCCGGCAGCCTCGCCTGCATAAACCCCCAACTCCTCCAACCCCCAACTCCGACGAGAGCCGCCAGTCCGTCCGCGAAAGGAACCCCCAGGATTTCTGCGCCGAATCCGTACGTTTCCTCTCTCTCTCTCTCTGTTCTCCCCAGTTCGCGGAGGGAACCAAACCAAACCAATTGGTGTGCCTATCTTGGATAAGTTCTGATCTCCCCCGGTCCCTTGATTTTTCAGCTTCGTGACCCAATGGAAGAGGCCTCGCCGTCGATCGCCAAGGACATCACCGAGGTGAGCGCCCGCCGCCCATTTCCGCCGGTTTCTTTCGGGGGCGGATTCGGTTGTTGCTTCGATTTCGATGTGGCCCCGTAAAAGCTGATTCTTTTGTGATGTGCGCAGTTGATCGGGAATACCCCGCTGGTGTACCTCAATAAGGTGACCAATGGGTGCGTCGGCCGCGTCGTTGCCAAGCTCGAGTCCATGGAGCCCTGCTCCAGCGTCAAGGATAGGTAGCGCTTCTGATTCTGAAGGAGCTCTCTCACTTCTCACCCCTGTTGCTGTAGCACGAGGGGTGCGGTTCTTTCTGCTTTCTCTGACCGAAGGCTCTTTTTTTCAACTTCAGATCGATGTTTTGCTTCTGTAAAATTTCATATTTCTCCTTATTATTTTTAGTATATTTTAACTTCAGGTCGATGTTTTACTTGAGTAAAATATTAGATGTTGCACCAATGATTTTAACTTTCTTTTCCTTATTCTTTATTTGGAAGTTTTGTTCTTCCTTTTACCTTACTTCAGTATTCTTTGACTGAAAGTGCCTGTTGTATTTGTGCAGGATTGGCTACAGCATGATCACAGACGCAGAGGAGAAGGGGCTGATCACTCCAGGCGTGGTGGGTGACTGAACCTTTTGGAGCATTTCCTTTGTTGTTTCTAGGGAAATAGCTTGGGTTCTTGATTTGCCCAGTGCCCACTGCCTTATTATATTCAATTGGAATGCTAATTTTATATCGCCGAATCCAGAAGCATGTGCTAGCTGCCATTTTCGTCCTCAAGCATCAAGCTTGCATAAGAAAGTTATCATATCCTGTGGTTGTTGAGTACTTGGGATTATAAGTTTATTCTGCGTTGCTTTGTGCCTAGTAGTGCCTTGTTGGAGCAGATGCTTCATTTAAAAAAAAGTGTTTGCTCTCATCTGTCCAGCTGTTAGATAGAGTACCATGGACATCACTAACATAGTGCTTTGAGCCTTTGTTTAATGGAGTATATATATTTTAAGTACAAGAAGCAAGCTTGCTTTATATATCTTCTTAGAGGAAGGCAGGTCAGTTTCTCCCTTCTCCATTTCGGCTGCACTTTTATAACCTACAGTTATTGGATAGCTCTTCCCCCATCCTACAATAGCATACATCTCCTAGTCCTCGATGGAGAATCCAATTGGTATTATCCTGCATCGGTGTTATTCTGCATCGTAAATGACCTAAGCAACCATTGCTTGTGCCTAACCTGGTATTGTTAACTCCCATGGTACAAAACTGAAGCCATTTGTTTCGCTTGATCGGTGATGCTAGAATGACCTGCTAAAGTGTCTATCTAGTTTTAACCATCTATATAAGATTAAAAATGATTGATTTCTTGTTTTATACATGGTTTAACTGAGTCTCTAACTCTCTATGGCAGTAGCAGCAAGGGAGTTCAGTTATAGTTATAGGATAGTCAACACTTTCTGCAAACTGCTTGTAAATCTATATTTGTATAAATTTCAGGATATTGGTATTAGATTGTACTAATATTTTGCTTTCCATGTCAATTGTTGCCAGAGTGTTCTGATTGAACCAACTAGCGGCAACACAGGCATTGGACTGGCCTTTATGGCTGCTGCCAAGGGCTACAAACTTATACTGACAATGCCTGCCTCCATGAGCATGGAGAGGAGGATCATATTGAAGGCTTTTGGTGCTGAACTTGTCCTTACTGAACCACTCCTGGGAATGAAAGGAGCTGTCAAAAAGGCGGAAGAGATTCAAGCAAAGACTCCCAACTCATACATCCTTCAACAATTTGAAAATCCGGCTAACCCAAAGGTGCAGCATAACATAGCATTTATTTTGGACAATTTTCTGTTAGCCATGTTGATATTTACTTTCTGAAGTCTCATGCTGAAATATGTTACACAGATTCACTATGAGACTACTGGGCCTGAAATCTGGAAAGCTACAGCAGGAAAAATTGATGCCCTTGTATCTGGTATCGGGACAGGAGGTACCCTAACTGGTACTGGGCGATACCTCAGAGAGCAAAATCCTAATGTCAAGGTAAGTATGCATGGCAGTTTTAGCTGACACCTTGATAATTGTTTTTTTCCACTGTACCAGATGAGTTAGATGTTATTTGTTTATCTCTATGTAGCTCTATGGTGTGGAGCCAGTGGAGAGTGCTGTTTTGAATGGTGGAAAACCTGGTAATTTTTGCACCTTGAATATGTTCCTAAGTACATAGACTTTTTTTTATCATTATGAGTGTATGGTAGTATAAATTGCTTTGCTTAGCACTTGGGCATGTGAAGCATTTTAAAAGTGAGGGACAATGTTTTTGAGGCGCGGCGCCCGATCCCCTTCACAACGCCTAGGCGTTTGTGGCGGACGCTTAGGCGACGCCATACACACATTGTAAGGCGTTGGAAGCTAGAATTTTATATACTAGTGCAGCACATACATATCTCGTTTGTTGCCAATTCTTGAGCCCATGTTCCTTTTTTTTCCTTTCCAAAAGCTCTACTCCCATATAGCATACAATATTCAGAGCAGAGCAGAGAGTGGGCCAAGCGGAGATACAATATTCAGAGCAGAGCAGAGCAGAGTATACAATATTCAGACTACCTGGGCCAAGCGGAGATGCAGAGCGGACGGCAGATGCAGAGCAGAGCACGAGGAGGCAGAGCGGACGGCCAAGCGCAGATGCAGGCCGGCTCCGCGGCAGGGCCGGCCGGCCGGTGGAGACGAGCAGAGTAGCTGCCCAACGGAGGTCGAGGTCCGTCCACCGCCTTCTCTCTTCCTCTCCCCTCGCCCGCAGCAGCGATGTGCGATGATGCTGGAGCGGCTCCACGGCAGGGGCGGACGGCCAAGCGGAGATGCAGGCCGGCTTCGCGGCAGGGGCGGCCGGCCGGTGGACACGAGCAGAGTAGCAGCCCAGCGGAGGTCGAGGTCCATCCGCCGCCTTCTCTCTTCCTCTCCCCTCGCCCGCACTCGCGATGAATGGCTCGCGTGGTCGATTTCCCACGCGAAGAGGCTACCTGGGCGCACGCGCGGTCGATTTCCCGTGCCTCTTACTTTTCCCGTGGGCGCGCGGTCGATTTCCCGCGGGGCCGCGCTCCTTTTGGCGCCCTTCCCCTACGACCGGCATCTGGCGTCCGCGGCGTGGTTGTAGGCGTCCGCCCGACGCCATTCGCGCCTAGGCGACGCCTAATCCTATGAGGCGGACGCCATACACGCTGAGGTCGTGGCGACCCCGACACCCAGGCCCTCGACCACGCCTTGTCGCCTAGGCGACGCCTAGGCGACGACTAGGCGACGCCTCAAAAACATTGGTGAGGGAGATATAAGAAATGGTATCCAGATAGTTGTGGTTTGAAACAAGAATATCAGATAGCTAATAATTTCTGACATGACCTTGTAAGGCTTTTTTTGGAGTCAACTATACAAATACAGATCTCTTTTGGAGAAGTAACCCTGCGAACTATTTTCTTCCAACAAATTATTGTGCTTCTTGTTTTGGACTCATGAGATATAAGTGCCCATAATGCAGGACCACACAAGATTCAAGGAATTGGAGCTGGTTTTATCCCTGGAGTTTTGGATGTTGACCTCCTTGATGAAACTCTACAGGTATGTTCTTCTCTATTAAGTTGGGCTGTAGAAAGGGCATACTATCTCTGATCCCATGTTTAAGTCCATTTAGGATTGTTGGTCAGACCTTTTTAGCTTTGACCACTGATTTCTAAGAACCATATGGACTGACGTCATAATATTGGTGTTATTACTAGAGTCATCATGGAAAATGTTTTTTGTAATTACTTTCTTCTATTTGATTGAAATGGTATATGTTCATAGTATTATTAGTCAAAGTGGTGCACTGATTCCAATATCATGTCAGACCTATATATCCCTCATATTATTTTTTAGAATCGAGGATGTTCCCCATTTCCATTACATGAACGGAAATACAAGCAGTTTTTAGACATGTAAGAAGAAGCAAGAAAAGACCAGACAGCTAACAGAAGTGCGCTTAACCGCCAGCGCAAGAGGATCACCAACCAACCAACAGACTGCGCTTAACCTCCTGCACAAGAGGTGACTTAAGCTAACCACAGACAGTTCTAATAACATCCACCCAATACTGCCTATCACCTTCCCAGCAAAAGCCATCGTAAGCCAAACTGAAAACGTTACACAATAACGCCATATAGCAGCCATCAGAAAGAAAAGTAGAAGTCGTATTCCTCCTGCACCCCATGGAGCGATGGTGAGGGCAGCATCAGCTCAACACCCGGATCATTCCTTGAACTGGTCACCATCTTGATATTCTTGAATTTCATTCCTAGTCTCCAGCTTGGGTTTCTTGGCGGCAAGAATGTCCATCGCCAGCTTTAGCATTAAATTGGCCCCTTCATCGCTTCCTTGTCCACTTCTGCATAAAGTCCTGCCCAGAACTTCATTAGCACCCCTACATGACAGATAATCTCTAATGGGTTTTTAATGATCTTGTTATTGAAACAAGCATTGTTCCTAGCCTTCCAGATAGCCCAGCAGATGGCTGCTGTGCCACATACATGGAATTTTTTGTCAAGAGGCAACCACTTTTCCAGCCAACTCCAGCATTGGTTTAGATTTCCAGGGATATCCGCAGCACCAATGCATCTAGCCACACATGCCCAAATCACCTTGGCTACAGAGCATTTAAAGAATAAGTGGTCTATTGTTTCATTGCATTCACAAAAATAACATTCTGGATCACCAACCCAGTTTCTTTTGATCATGTTGTCCTTAGTTAGAATTGCCTCATTAGACACTAACCACATAAAAAATTGGATGTGGGGTAACATATTATGATATAAACAAGCATGCTATTTTTTACTCTCTTTGGTTACAGTACTGTTTTCCCCTCATTAACGGAATTTATGGCTGATCCACTTTTATCTTGTACTCAAGTGTCTTTGCGTTTGCTTTCTTCTACCTGGCATAACATTTTGGTGCCTTCAATTGTTTCCCAGATTTCAAGTGATGAAGCTATTGAAACTGCCAAGTCTCTTGCTTTGAAAGAAGGGTTGTTGGTAGGTCTCATTGTTCTCTACTATTAAGAACTAATAATCTGCATGCCTCATCTATTGATGATTTATACTTCTGTAGGTTGGAATCTCTTCTGGTGCAGCTGCGGCTGCGGCAGTTAGGCTTGCCAAGAGACCTGAAAATGACGGAAAGCTATTTGTTGTAAGTGTTACATTTCCTCCCTCTGAATTCTAGCACTTTAAGGTGTGTAGCTCTTTCAGTCACATGAGTCTTTCATGGAAATTCATCTGATGTCTAATAAATCACAGATGAATAGTTCTACTTGTATATTTAGACCTAAGTCCCTATGGGGGGTTTGGGGGGGATACCAAACTCAGTCGTTTTGTCAATGCAACATCTGCACTTCAGTGATAATTTGTGAACTTTTGAGACCTGACTTAGTTGTGACTTTTGATGGGCCTATCTGTTCGGCTGGACTGAGACAATTGGGCCCAATTTGGCAGCTAAGGCTTTCCAACACTCTGTAGACGAAGATCAACTGAATCGCCCATTAGTTAAAAAATACTAAATTGTATATTCTTTTGACACGCCATTTTACCGGAATTTCAGAAAATTTAGATTTGTCAATGTGCTCTGGAATGATTTTTTTTAAGTCCCAAAACCAATTTGTTCCTCAACGCAGGTCGTGTTCCCAAGCTTTGGTGAGCGCTACCTCTCATCAGTGCTGTTCCAGTCCATCAAGAAGGAAGCAGAGAGCATGGTGGTCGAGCCCTAGAGCACAATTCTGGCAACTGTTTTCGGAGATGTTCACCATTTTCATCACAGAAATAAAGCTTCGGTGCCCTTCTGCTTCTGTTGATTTCAACATACATCTGTCTGCCGACGATGTCCAGTCCATTGTGGTCGTTGTTTTACATCGTTTATAGAATAGACTTGTGATGTTTACTACTATTTGACACTCTTTGTATTCTGTATATTGCGTCAGCCAGTGTGAAATAAAAGCAGTATAGTGTGTTTCTTTTTCTTTTTCTTTTTTTTGGTCCTGGGTAGATTTTCATTCCAACTGAGTTGAGAATTACTCGACGGCAATTACATGAACGTTATCCGGGACAGTGCACGTAATGTGCTCCTCCCCTTCGACGCTACCGCCACCGACAAGGGCAAGCTCATGAGCTGCCCTATTACGAACTCTTGACCGAGAGACACTCAAAATTTATTAAGTTTGATGACACTAAAGACTTTAATTCATCTATCAGACCTCCAGACATCGATTTGGCAAGATCATCAGTCGTCAAAGCTTGTTTCGCCAACGTTGCGTCCGTTTCCAGGATCAAGTTTCCAATCCCCAGGTTGCATGCTGCCTGGACACCATGGAGGCAAGGAATCAACTCTGCCTCGAGGGCGTTGAGCAAGTGATCAACTCGCCCCCATCCAGCATTCACCACATCTCCATCGCTATCTCTAATGAGGAAGCCCCAACCACCACTCTTGGCATACGGTGAAAAAGCCCACTCTCAACTCCAGCGGTCTCTTCTTCTTAACTGTGTTTCTTGCAGGGATGCTTTGTTAGAACTCTTGGGACAACAAGAATCCATGTTTCTTGCATGGAAGCTTTGTTAGAACTCGGACAACAAGAATCCATGTGTTCAAAACATGTCCTATAGTTGACCAAGTTAAAATATATGTACTCTATCCATTCACAAAAGAATGCTATTCTAGCACAATAGCAAGTTAAAGTATCTTGAGTTTGATTTATTATAAATAAAAAATATCAGTATTCATAATATCAAATAAGTATTGTTAGATTTATCATGAGATATTTTCATACTATAATCATTTGGTTTCATAAATATTAATATTTGTACCTATATTTGGTTAAACTTTAGACAAGTTAGCTAAAAATACATAGAGTTGCCTTCCTTTGTAAGGAGAATTGCATTGAAGAATGGCCAGTGACGCTCACGGAACTGAACAGCAGTGATGTGCTCGGTCATTGCCTGCTGCAGCATCAGGAGGTAAAAAAAAAAAAAAAAAAAAAAAACTCTACTGGGTTTGGCACTTTGGCAGGGCAAGAGAGCCCAACAGTCAAAAAAGTGTATGTAAATGCAGCAGGGCTACGTTCATGTGTTGCAGGGCCACTACTGTCCTGGCAGCACTGTAGTCTGTTGGCAATGCGAGCAGAGTACATACAGCCATCAACATGAGCACTGCAGGCACCGGTACTGCAACCATGTTCTTCCAACCACAGAGACTTGACCAAAGACAGTCGAATCACACCATTGGTGCCATGGAGCCAGGGCCTTGTTTAGATTAGGGTTAGGAATCAATATTTGGTATTGTAGCACTTTCGTTTGTATTTGACAATTATTGTCCAATCATGACCTAACTAGGCTCAAAAGATTCGTCTCGTAATTTACAATCAAACTGTGTAATTAGTTATTTTTTTATCTATATTTAATACTCCATAATGTGTCCAAAGATTTGATGTGATGGAGAGAGAGTGAAAAGACTCAATCTAAACGAGGCCTAGATGTCAAAAACACAAGCCAGGTTTCCTTTGGGATTTTGATACTGGTACAAATAAACCTAGCTTGAGCTTCAATTCAACACCAGGATGGTGATGATGATGAGGAGAATGCTTTGTTAGCATTGTACTTTGTGTCCCATCCCACAAAGCCATTGTTGTATTGGACCTAAAAAACAAAGAGGAAAAGAATTAAAGGGCATTCGAATCCATGCGCAACAAAAAAGGTGAAAAGGCTCACACATCATGATGAATGAATAGGATGGATTTGTCTCGACCCCAAAAGCAGCGTGGTACACGACCTTGACCTGCAGACATCTACTGTAATATCTTTGTGTTCTGAACCTGCTGGGACTAGCAGGCCATTGGTTCAAAGCAAAGCAAAGCACTGCACTGCACCTGAAGGTCTTGGTGCCAGAAAAGGCCATTCATTTGATGAGATTGCGTGAGGTAATGTACATTCCCAAATGGCCAAATCTTCCAGGAACCGATGGCTTTTCATAACAACTCTGTTTACACAAATCAGGAACTAAAGTTACCACACAAGACACGATATCGAAGGTACACAGCATGTGGCCTCAGTTAGCCGGTCTATGGTATGTCTTGGAGTTATTGCTTCCCTTCTCTAGCAAGGCTTCTGCACAAGACACGAAACAATTGCGATTACTACTCCCAGGCATGGATTTCTTCAAGAAAACAAATTTCAGAGGCTGCTCAATTTAAAACCTTGAATATCTAATAGGCCGAAAACCCATAGCACAATTCAGGATAATATCCAAGCAACCACCAGATTGTATTGAATCCGACGTCTAAAACACCTAGCAAATCAGTCTCTCAGGTAGAACACTGCTAGAGCTAACAAGGATGCCTACTATAACCATGCTCTGTTCTCATCTTCTGAGCATCGACTAAACTACGATCTAAGAGAGCCCCTAACGCTTCCAATGTGATGGCCATAGATTTTGGAGATGTTCTTGGCCATCGCTGCTTCACTGCTGCTGCGCAACAGCCTGCCTCATCTGCATTACCTTCTTGTGAGAGTTGGAGTGTATGCAACTCACAAAAGTCGGGCTATTGGCAGGTCTATACTCTGGCAGCAGCCTGCCGGACTTGTACCTCACGCCACAGGCATTGCAAAGAGTCTTCGGTCCCAAAGGTCCAGCCCTCCACTGTGGGGTCTTGGAGGACAAGCAATGGGTGCAGCGCTTCTCTGCCTGATCTGACGACTGGGGCTCATTCACATATGTCTTCTTCATCATCTTCTTCTTCTTATCTCGCTGTGCTCCTGGTTCTTGTTCTTTCTTGGTTTCTTGGCCACAATGCTCCTCAGAAATGGTGGCATACCTATTCTCTGGCTTAAGCCTCAGGCCACATGCATTGCACAGCATCTGGGGCCCTGACGGGCCATCCCTCCATCGTGGTGTTTGGCATGACAAACAATTGCTACACCTCTTCACCAGCCGCCGCACACCCTTCTCACACTTCTCTTCCTGCCCTTGTTGCTGGCAAACCTCTTGGTCTTTGTCTTTCTTGGGGAGGATCAGCTCGCTCTCTGCCATCCAATGCTTCTGATCAATTAGGATTAGCGGTGGCTCAACATACAATGGGATGATGTATTGTTGATCATCGTCGTTAGTCATAACAGAGGCCAGGCTCCTTTTCTTTCTCCTGCCATTGGAAGATGAAGGTGGCGGTAACTTTGGTTTTCCAGCACCCTGGCTTGCCATTGCAGGAGCAGATCTTGCAAAAACAGGATTTGTGTAGGATGTGGAGCTCGAAAAGCAGTCCTCCACGTAGCCAGAGAGCCATTCTATGTTGCTCTCATCACTCTCCTGCGAAGTAAAGAGTAACATGGCATGGAAACAGTTAGTAAGAATGCAATGGCCAAAATAACTACCGACAATTCAGTTTTAAACTCTGGTTCTACATGGTTGAATTTGATAATAAGAACGGTAAAAGCATGAATAGAATTTCTAGTTCTAGGGCCTATAAACAAGTGAAAAATTACTCAGATACTGAATAATTCCAGTAAGACTTGAGGCAAAGAAGAGTAGAAACGTAGAGTAATCAATTTCCCTCTCCAACAGATTCTATAACAAAAAATACTAATATAGGCCAAATTCTCAACCAAAATCATGAAGCATGAGGAGCATCTAGGATTAATGGAAATAAATTTGACAAAAGGAGATATTTGAACAGAAACGTCCTGCATTTACAATTGTCACTGTGCCAGCAGAAACAGCTATGGCAGTTTCTTAGTTACAATCTAATCTAATTACATAAGCGTTACAGTTCGTGTAACGATGGAATGAATAGCAGTAAATGCTACAAACAGAATGAACTAAACAACAACATAAAGCATGTCATATAAACAGAATAATGTGACAGAAGTCCAAAATGGGGGTGCAAGGAAAATGATATATATATCCTTGAATTCTGGAAGCTCGACATCAGAATACCACTCAAAAACTGAATAATCTGCAAAGAAACCACAAACCACTGCGGCGGTTTCTCAGTTATACAACCTAATTGAGCATTACAGTTGGAGTGCAATGGAATGAATACCGAATAGAAACGGAATGAACTAAACGACCACCACAAAGCATGTTTATAAACGGAAAATTGTGAAGTCCAAAATGGGGGTGCAGGGAAAATGATATCTCCTTGAATTCTGTAAGTTCTACAACAGAATCGCACCCGGAAACTGATTAATTTTCAAAGAAACCGCAAACCACTATGGCAGTTTCTCAGTTAGTACAATCTAATTGAGCATTACAGTTGAAGTGCAATGGAATGAACACCGAATAGAAACGGAATGAACTAAACGACAACCGCAAAGCATGTTTTATAAACAGAAAATGTGAAGTCCAGAATGGGGGTGCAGGGAAAATGATATCTCCTTGAATTCTGTAAGTTCTACAACAGAATCGCACCTGGAAACTGATTAATTTTCAAAGAAACCGCAAAACACTATGGCAGTTTCTCAGTTACAATCTAAATTAAGCAGTACAGTTGGTGCAAGATCGACTGAATAGCCGTAAATGCTGCAAGCTGGCTGAACTAAACTATATTTGCAAAGCATGTCTTATAAACAGAAAAGCATGTGACCAAATCCAAAATGGGGGTGCGGGAAGAAATGATATCTTCTTTCATCCCTTAACATCAACATCAGAATCCCACCCAAAAACTGAAGAATTTTCAAAGAAACCCCTTGTCATTGTCTTAGAATGGGGGTGCAACGAAAACTGTCCTTGGGTTCTAAATGTCCAACATCAGAACCCCACCGAGAAACTGAATAATTTTCAAAGAAACTGCTTGTCAATGTCTCTGGTGGTAAAGTTACCACTGCAAGTGCCACCTAACCGAAATATCACCGTCACAATCTCAAGTAGGCATCATACCACAGTGAGGAGCACAGGGTATTAAACAATGGGATGCACTTACGCAATGACCATGACACGAGTCAGGAGGGAAGGAACATACGCACATCAACAATAAAGGTAGCAAGCACACATTTTCTCCCCCAACCCTTCCTCTTTTACATGACCTCACAGCTCACAAATGGCCAAAAAGGACACGCCTTTCAATTGCTTAATTGCGAGAATAATGCCATTGATGAGCACAGCACAAACCCTAGCGGGAAAGAATAGAGTAAGGCCGCAACCACCCGATTGCTCCTGTGGGAAATTTCCACCCCTGACGAAAGCTTCAGCTGAATTTCAGGGGCCGTCACAGTTCTTCAGGACAAGAACAGTTGAATTGCACGGTAAATTTCCCCCACCCGAACAAAAGAATCATCTAGTGGACAGGAAATTGAACAAAAGCACGGGCAAACCGCTCCAAAATGAGGATTGAAGCAGTGGAGAGCGCAGAGGCGAAGCAACCGCTTCATCCCCCAAACATGCAAGCCAAAACCGCTACCAGGCTACAAACGAAGGGAAGAACACCATGACCCAGGTCTCTGCGGACAATAATCTCAAGAAACCGCGCAACAGACACCGAAATTCTCCAACAGGCGACGCCTAAACCCCCTGCCTCGCAAGAGCGCAAGAACCAAGAAACGAAAACCGCCCCCTGTTCCACTTCCTTCCCGCACACAGCACACAAAACGGCCGCTTCTTGGCGAGACAAGAAAACCCTAGAATAAAAAATTCTTGCAAAAGAAATATCACTACCCAACAGGGAGCTGTAGCGGGAGGGGAGGCGGCGAGGAGACTGACCAAACCGGCGGGCTGGTGCGGGAACAGGTCTCCGAGGGAGTCGGCGGCCGCATTCGCCGGGTGCACGTCCATGCTCCTGTCTCGCGGTGGGACGGAGGCGCGTCGAGGTCGAGGCGCTGCCGGAAGGGGTAGGCAGGCAGGCAACCGCCGGCGAAGGCGGCGCTGCCAGAGGGAGAGGAGTAGGTGAGGGGATTTCGGGAGCTTTTTGTTTGGGAGCGGAGGGAGAGGCTTTTATGGGAAGGCGCCGGGGTTCCTGTTTTTTTTTTTTTGAAACTCTCTCTCTTTTTTTTGTATGTTTTGGGCAACAGCTGTGGAAAGGCTACAAATGGAAATTCATTTTGGGTTTTCCGTGTTTTTTCTTTTCACATTTTATTTATTTTGCTTGCTTCATCCTAAAGTATGTTGCTGCTTCAATCCATTCATTCATGCTTTTTTTTGGGTCGGTTGCATATGCATTGCGTGGGAGCTTTTGATGGTTTGGGTTTCATTTTTTATTTATATATTGGAAAAGTTGCAAGTTTAGTAGGAGTATTTTCTTCTTCTGATAATAGAAATAATAAAGGATATTTTGTAAATATAAATACCCTAAAAAGGAAGTTTCTTAGAGGTGAAGCACCGTGTCAAGACAACTGTTTGAAAATCAAAATCCTAGGTGATTCATTATAGTATCACTACATCAATTGCATAATAAGACGAATAAATAAATAGATAGAAACACTAGATATATTACTGATATACATCTATCAAATTGAATTAATGGAGCAAAAACATTTTCATTTTTTTATTTTTTGCAAAGAGAAAAATATTGGCAATATGGCGAAGCATATGTACACATAACGAAAATGGATTAATAACGGGATGAAATATATATATCCCCCAACAAATCTGCCCCCCTTTTTCATTAACTTTTGTGCCGGGCCTATGGGGTGGTGGATTTGAAACGGATACGGCGTGCCGGGCTGGCCGGTTGCTTTCAATTTTCGTACTGCTCTCCCTCGCACTCCCTTTGCTTGTGCAGTTGTGCTGTGTGGCCTGTGTGCCCTGTGTGGTGTTTCAGTTTCGTCAGGTCCTAGGTTGACGCCAAACGCAAGCTCAAAGCCAAACATGTGAGATGTGAGCTACCCTCCCTTTCTACCCTTTATTACATCCTTCCCAAGAAAACAAAAGAAATGTAACTACTGTATAAATCTGCCAATCCTCATCTGTCTATCTTATGCCTTGTTTAAATCCAGGACGTAAAGTTTTAAGGTGTCACATCGGATGTTACATAGAGTGTCGTATGAATGTTCGGATACTAATAAAAAAATAAATTACATAATCCCTGGTAAGTCTTCTGTCTATCTTACTGGCCCCCATTTTCTATTTTGCTCAAGCTTGAAATTTCATCGAGTGGGAATTTTACTACTGGTAGACAAATGCAAACTGACACTTTTTGTTTGGGGGTGGAAAGAACATGGAAGCTTCTGCAGATTTTTACGGCGGGATATTGGGGCCGAATGGAGAAACGCGTGAGGGTAAAAAACGAGGGAGGGGAGAAGAAACTGATGCTCTTCTGGTTCTGTGGTTCATGCTGCCATCATGACTTTCCGTGTGCTCAAAGCCACGTCGTTCGTTCATCCTTGTTTTCGGGCTCTTGCCAATTTGACCATATAGTACACGTCAGGTCAGGCCGGGGATAGTAATACAGGAATGGTGCCCCAGACCCCAGTTGGAAAAAGTGCGTGACGAGGGCAAGTTACGCACAGACCAAACAAAAAAATGTCACATGATGTCCAATTTGATCCGACAGAGATTCAGCAGCGACGCTTGGAGTTGCTGGCATTACTGTCTCTAAATGTTAAGTGAGCATTGCTGAATGAGAAAGAGTTGGATACATCCAGTCACTCCATGAGCCAAAGGATTTCCAAAAGGGAAAATGAACTATGGCAGAAGCAGAACACCTATCGTTGTTCTGAATACAACAGTTAGCAACAGTTCATCCATCAAAAAGTCCGAATTTTTCAGTATCATCATAACATGTAAAGGAGTAGATACACTACATTTGCCTTTTTCATCTACGGAGGAAACATTTAAAGAAGACTTTTGAAAAGCCGGGACCAAAACTTGCTTTTCAGTCTTATTGGCGTACCACTTCCACTAAGGCATTGCAAGCTACAATCGCTGCCCATGACCATGAATCTACTCGACCAAGCATGATCCATGTGGACATCGACAAGTGCACCGCACCAGGTCTCATGGGACTGATGGGCAGCGACCGCAGCGTATAGGCTCCTCCGAGGTCCAGATTATATGTACACTTGGAAGTTGGAGCTAGCAGCCAGCAATAACATTTCCCATTCAGCACTCCTGTCCTGCTTGCTTCCAATAAGTTATCTGCATACACCAAGTGACAACCTTAAGTTTCCTGAGAAAATGTGATGTGATCACCCATCCCCCATCAAGAAACAGCCATAAACAAAATGATAAAAAAGGTGACCGCAACAACTAGGCACAATAGTTGAATAGCAATCTCCATTTACCCATGCCTGTTAATATGTACTCAGATGCTACATACCATTGCTGGACTTTTCTGAACTCTGTGAGGACAGGATAAATATTTTCGAAGGCAGTGTACGTCTCCTCTCTCACCTGGAAAGAGAAAATCTTAGATATAGTCTAATGCAGTCAGAAAAAAAAGGAATAGCTTAGATGTACCATTCAGGACAGGCTAAGGCACAGGAAATTGCTGCTAACCTTAGCTCCTGTCAGAACAATCTTGCCTGAAACAAAAATCAGCAGCACAATCTTTGGCTGCTTCATCCGATAGATCAAGCCAGGGAAGAGCTCTGGTTCGTACTGGAGAGTGAAAGCCAAGCAAAATATCAGGACACTGGCAGGACAATTCAAGAAGGTAGCTGAGAGAAGTATGGTTAAAAAGACAAGGAATGCAACTTACACTTGAGAAAGCACCATGAGAGTATGCAAGACCCTCAAGTCTGATTGGGAATTTGACATCACAAGACCCAACAATGTTCTGAATCTTGAAGTCCTGACAGCACAGAAATAACAAAAGTTCAATGATATTTATCCCAGAATTAAAGCACACAAATTTGAAGAATGGAATACATACATACCTTGAATTTTGCTGGAAAACCAAGCTTCTGGATGATGCGAGCATACTGCAAACAGCAAAACAGTTATTATTCAGACACCCCTCAGCAGATTAAGAATATTTAGATGAAGAGAAAAGAACACGAAATTACCTTCCTAGCTGCAAGTTTAGATTGTTGTTCACTTTTTGCTCCAGTACAGACCTGATAATTCACAGCAAGTGTTTCTTTATATTAGTGCACAATTAGGGAAATGATGACTTCTTAGACAGAAGCTCATTAGGAATACAGTCAAGCAAAAGGATAACTGAAAAGTAACCGTTAAGTGTCTGTGAGGTGTTCACACTAAATTTCAACAGCTATAACAACTAAACCATAAATAGCTACCGATAATCTCATCTTCTTATGGTACAGAGTTAGAGCCATACCTAATATAACTTTGAATGCGATTCTAGCTTTGTGTCTGGACAAATGCTTGTCCAGATTCAAAGCTAAAATCGCTTTCTTTTAGGGACAGAGGAAGTACTTAAAAAGAACATGCACAACATCACTGATATAGAAGTTAAACTTACCATTTTCCCTGACGCAAATATCAATGCTGTAGTTTTTGGTTCTCTTATCCGCATAATAACCGCAGCAAAACGCTGTTTTACAAAGAAATAGTTATTAAAGCAAAGACAAAGTACATTGCTGGAAGAAAATAAAATATGAAAATGAAGTTGCTTGATGTCAGAACTGAATGTGGCAATGGGATAAAACCAAGTACTTAATTTTCAATTTATAGGCTAGACATAGTTGGCAGAATAATATGTGTATGTATATCAAAACGTAGCATATTAGCTACACGCATATGAATTCTTAAAGGTATTCATATAAAATGTAGGAACAGATGGAATTCTAATTTATCATAAGTTGATAACTGAATACTTATTGAAAAATGAGAGATAAAATTGTTTAGAGATGTGGTCTGTATTTTCTTAGAAGTTTACAAGGCGATAAGCATGAATTTGAAGATAAATCATATAGTTAAGACACGGATCAACAACTATCATATGTGAAATGATATGGTTTTCATTCCAGATTATTCATCATCCACAGACATAAGAAGCATAAAGGAAACGAAAAGCTTTCAATCAATGGTATTATCCAGAGTACATGCTAATCGGACCACACTGGAAATACAGCACTGTGATCCAGTCATTTATCAAAAACCTTAATACAGACAAGCAAACATGTACAAAATAGTTCTGGAGAAGTAGCACCAGCAGTGGTTGCTACATACAAACAGAACCTTGGCAAAAATAGATAGCACTACGTGCAGAATAAAAATGAAAACAAAAATGCATTGAAACAACAATCCCACCTTGGGGTTATATTCTGCATTACGTGCTTGAAGGGCAATTGCTTTGAGGTCCAGTTTACAGTCCAAATTGACCGTCGACACAATATTCCTGTTACCAGACCAAACAGCATAAAGCGGAACACAGCAAGGACATCAACATCTCTGTGTTGAGTATACAAAGAAAAAAACAGAGAATAGAATCGCCCCAGAGCAACAAAAGCCAAAATAAAGAGAGTAAAATTCTTAGTTAATCAAATATGTGCAGCTATGTTCAGTTCATTATAACAGTCTATGAAAGCAGGAGAGATAAAGAGCACATAAGGAGGTACTAAGTTAATTCCTTCTTCACTTTCGTACCAGAATCTACCAGAACCACACAAATACAGAAAATACTAACAACCAAGCATTAGCATCAGCACAAATTTGCACAAGGTTTTACATTCAGACATACACATCCACCCTCCCTACTAGTAACACCCTAATAAGATTCAGGAGGTCCTGAACACTCCAGTAGCATCAATCTCAAACTTTCAACATTAAGTCCAGCTCGATATTTCAAATTCGTGTAGCTTTCATTATCATGGTTAAATCGATTTGTTTTCCAGGGAAGTAGGGCAGGTCAAAGCAATATCGTCATGACTCATGAGCTTTTCACTGCGCATGAGGATTGGTCCTTGTGACTCCACCACCCTGGAATCCTGGATCTAGCCCCAATACCCCCAACAAGCACTGAAACTACAGCTTCACCAGACTCGCTGCCAGCCAAATACACCAAGCCCAGCGGATTATGATTAGCTGAAGCACAACCAAACCAATCACTCAAAAGCAGCCAAATCTCAGCCGGCGTTCCAAGCCTCGCATCCCCAACCCAACCAGAAATCGAATCTTTCGGGGGGAGGGCGCCCAATCCAGCAAGGTCCTGCTGACTTACTGGAGCGTGGGGACGATGCCGGAGGGGTGCTTGGACAGATCCACCGGCTGGCTCCCCTCCAACGTCGGCTCCGCCATCCACGGCCCGAATCCCCCACACCACCAGAGGAAATCCCCAATCTCCCTACGACAGCGGGACGAAAAAAAAGCTCAATCCGAGGCCGATTCGCGCGGGAAAGGAGAGGCCGTTAGAGATCCCGCGGAAAGAATTTCGAATTCCGCGGTCTTTTATAGAGATCGGGGAGAAGGAGGGTGGAGGGATCCGGGAGGCTGGCTGGATGTGTGGGTTAGGGTTTGCGTCTCCGTCGAGGAGGAGGTCAGTGGAGGCGACGGGTAGGTGGTCGCGTGCGCGCTTATATGCGGACGGGGAGTTGGCGGTGGGGATGGGGACGAGGTATTTATAGACGCCGCGGGGTGACCTGCTGTCGCCGGTCGCGGGCGCGTGCTGGGAATGCTTGCGAGGGGTTTCGTTACGTGGGTTGAGGTGTGGGTTTGGCCCCTGATGGGTGGGGTAGGGTGCTTGGTGGGTCCCGGGTGGCATAATGGAGTGGAGGGGAGAGTTGAGGGTCGTGGAGACGAATGCAAGGTTCTCCAAGGTCCGGTTCGGGAAATGTGGTGCTAGTATGCAAAATTACGTGTGCGTCCTTGCAAGACGTCAAGTGCACATCTTTGAGACTGACCTTTGAGAGCCCGTTGCCCCTGGGGTGCAAATTCGCAAGTGAAAAAAAAAACAATCAACGCTGCTGGTGTTGGTTATACTAGCTTTTCACCATCTTCGTAGTTAGAGATTGGTAAGGCCCTATATAGATGTAAAGTATTTTTTTTTAGTATCGGAGAAATACTATGGTTTACAAAAATACTTTGGTTTTTAAAAGCTACTGAGTGTTTGGATGCAACAAATCTTATAGTTTTTAAAACAATGGTTTGTTAAAACTATAGTCTTTTTGAAGTTTCCACCCATGACCTCTTTTTCTAAACCACGGTTTCGTGTCTCTTTGGCTTATAAAAGTGCATTTATGTGAAACTACAGTTTTCGAAAACTGCAACCCTTAATTTTGTTTGTCCATTCAGCTTCTTATTAGTAGTAAGATCACGTTTTATTTAGACATAAAAAAAAAGGATTGGTCCTCTTTTTTTCTACGTGGGTGCTATCTCTTTTTCTAGCGTATTTCAATCGGATTTGGATTCTTAAAATCAGATAAGCGATACTCCCTCTGTCCTGTAATATAGTGCATTCTAGAAATTTTAAGACAAATTAAGAAAAAACGTAAAAGGCGCATATACCATCATTTTATTTCTTAATCAGGCGCTATCATCATGATTAATGGTGATTGGTTGATAAATAGAAAGTATTTAATGTAAAATTGGTATTTGTCCTCTAGAATGTATTATATTTTATGACAATTTTTAAATGCTAGAATGCACTATGTTACGGGACGGAGTAATGTACATGTCCAGGTTCCTCAAGTCTCTAACTCCACTGGTGACCTGATTAAACATCATTTATGTATGTAATTACTGTGTTGCCTTGTTTGGTGGAAGACTTACCACTACCTATAGTCTATAGGTAAAATATGGGACCTAAACAACACAGACTTTAAAACAGGCACTTAAACCAAAGCAAGGTTTCTACTCAAGCCTCTAAAAGTAGGAGATCCCAAAATTCACTCCTTATTATATCCTACTTTTCTATTTGGTAGAGGTTGCTTGGTTTGTTTGCTGGGCACTATTGCACCTTGCCAAGCCAAGATAGAGAACCAAGGCACATGTTTGGTTTCCTGGCTTCATCGCCTCGAGAAATGCATGGGCAAGATTTGCCTTGCTCACATGAGATAGCAAATTCAGCTCGCTGGCTAGAGCAAGATCCTTGTGACTCGCGTTGATGCAGCGAGGTGAGGCAGCGTTGCTGATGGAACCAAGCAGCCCCATAGTTTATCACCCTACCTTTGTCTAGAACCTTGCTCATGCCACTACTAGAAATATTCACTTCTATGACGAAAATATTAATGACGAATCTAAAATCGTCATAGAAGATCGCTTTTTATGACGAATATTTCCATTTTGTCATAGATCAGTGGTGACAATCCCGCAACCCTTCCTTTCTATGATGAAATCAGGCATCGTCACAAAAAACGTCATAGAAGAGCGCAGGGTTTCGTCATAGATCACTCGCGTGACTCATCTACGACGATCTCATTTAAACCTATGACGAATATAGCTTCGTCATTGAACTAATTACACATCTGTGACGGACAATATTTGATCTGTAAACGGCTTCATCATAGATCTCCACACTGTACTTTCTCCATTCGATGTGTACCTGTGGGACCTACAGTTACTCATCTGTGACGCTTGCAATTCGTCATAAAAGTCTCCGCTCGATCCTTTATCTATACGACGTGTACCTATGGGACCCTTCAACTTCTGATCTGTGGGACCCGACGGCTTACGTGTCACTCGTATCTATGGAACCATTCTCCATCTCCATCCGACCTATGGGACCCGACGGGTTGCGTGTCACGTGTACCTGTGGGACCATCCGATCTTTAGGACCCGATGGTCAGTGGGACCTTTCTCCATCTCTATCCGACCTGTGGAACTCGGCGACTTGCGTGTCACTTGTTGTCGTTGGGATTTAATAAATTCAAACTCAAAAAAAACATGAGACCTAAGAGTCAAACCTGGGACCCAGATCAAGGAATAGACTGTCTTCACCATTGCGCTAGACGTTTGGTTGTGTTGACATGACTTTAGAGTCCTAATAGTAGTATATGTTCTCTGTGTGGACAGGTTGACTTATATATTGTATGTATCCCCTGCAAGTGAAAACAAATATGTGCCCGTTGGACTTGCGACGGCGGCGGCAACGAAGGATCCCCAGTGTGCTGTGGTGGCTTAGGCGTCCTTTTGAAGGCTAGGCGGCGGGTCTTCCTAGTGGAACGTGGCGGCATTGGCGTCCATGTCCGTCGTGTCTCCTTTCTCGTCTTTTCCTGCCTTCACTATTTTGGTCCTTGCTTGAACATGAGAAATATAAGAAACATTGTACGTTGCAGATCTGGTTAGACCAATGCTGATGAAAAGAACTAGGAGGTAGCACTGGTTGGTTTCTGTTGGTGTGTTGGTTTTCTGCATATATTTAGTGTTCTTACTATACATGCCTGTGTGCAACTAGGCCTGTTAATTGTCAAGTGCTTGCTTGATTATACCTATCTGTCTAGGCAAACATATAGGCCCTTCGTTTCTGTCTTAAACTATTTTTTCTGTCCAGTGCTTGCTTAATTCTACATTTCTGTTTCATATGCTCCAGTGCCACCGGTGAGTCCTTATGGTATTTTGAACTTATAACATATCTGAGGCCACATTTCTATGCCAATGGTGTCTATATGGCTGTTGGATGTATTAGGATGCAACTCATATGTTTATTTTCTATGTCTTCTCCTTGTTGACAACAAGTTATCCATTTGGTTCCAAACAAGAGGAAGGCATCAAAAGCAAATCAATGCTTTGTGTCCATCATTCACATCATTGAGGCCAATAATATTTAAACTACACATGTTGCTACTGATGCCAATGATGATCACTACCACTTGTTCACTGACATTCTACTTGTGAAAACTGAGGAAGCTCAATTAACTGCTGAAATTGTAATGGTTACAGCTCCATTAACTGCTACTCTAGGTTGAGTTATATATATCTATGTGGCGCTACTCTAAATTTATATGAGGTCGTACCATGAAAATTGTTAATGGTTGTTCAAGTTACACTTTGGTATGAGTTGTGGACTGCACTGATGGATCTTTGTTGGATTATTTTTCTCTTTAGTGATCTCATTACTGAGGAAGCTATCATCGTACTGCACACTGACCAAATGGAGGAGGCCCCAACAAGAGAAATGCACTGGCCAGCCTCACAGAGGGTGCCATTTTCAAGATCCTCCGTCGCCTCCCCGTCCACTCCTTGTTCTACTGCAAATATATCTGTCGCTCTTGGAAAAACCTCATCTCGGACCCCAACAACCAGAAGAAGCTGCCCCAGACTATGGCTGGCTTCTTCTACGACAGTGAGAACGGCAATCAAAACTTTACCAGCGTCGTCCGTGGTGTACGCCCCGCTCGTTGGAATTATTACCCTTCAACATTGACAATGTAGCTCTCTCAGATTGCTGCAACGACCTCATCCTATGCTGGTGCCTTGGAGCTGATGGATACCGCTATGTCGTATGCAATCCAATGACCTAGAAGTTTAAAATTCTACCACCTAGCACCCATGATGTTGGCCATGTTGTTAGTGAGGCTCGCTTGGCGTTTGATCCGACAGCCTCCTCGCACTTCCATGTGATTGAATATGTGGATGTCAACACTATGTGCGCAGGTGTGGAGATCTACTCATCTCAAACTACAGCATGGATTTATAAGGAAACTAAATGGGGCGAGCATACTGATGTGACATTTTACAAACAACCAAGTGTGTTTCTTAACGGTTGTCTACACATTATAGGGCACTCTAGGAGGTACTCTATGATATTTGTTGTGGATATGGAGGGAAACACATGGAGAAAAATTGATAGGCCAGATGGTCTTCACCACTCCATGCATCAAGCTCAGGGTCACTTGTGTTTATGTACTGTTAATGGTCCCAATGATTCCAAGCTTTCAATCTGGATCCTTAAAGACTATGGTACTGATAATTAGACATTGAAGCATACGATCACCACGTGGATCCTGTTTGGAAGGATTAATATTAGATTTGGTTTCCTAGATTTTGATGACGAGAACATAGTGATCACAGTTCACCCAGAATGAAATTTAATTTTATTTGCTAGGGAGGATGGAACAATCTTTGCATATAACATGGACCGCAAAAAAGTTCATGTCATCCCTGTCCGTGTTTTTCGGTATGGTAGACGTACCGTTAAAAAAGAGTTCATCTACAGACCATACTATCTTCCTTATGTTCTCTTATTCTTGGATTCATTAGCAGAGCAGTAAATAAAGTTGTATTTGATGTATCTCTCTATCGTGCATTTTAAATGGACCAATATTGTTTGCTTATCTATGGGCATGTTAATTTCCTCAATG